GATCAAATCGGACTGGTACTGGCTGTAGCTCTTGGCTCTACTCCAACTTTTCTATTAGCGCATCAGACTGGTACTCGCTAGCTGCTCCTACCACATTGATGCTACCTCCCTGGGTATGCATTGGAAGGGGATCAGTTTCTACACGTGTCAGGTCTCTTTTGAAAAATTGATCCAATTTTACTTTTTATACAAATAATCTTCTCAAAGTCAAACAATCCATCAAGTCATGGTGCGGCGACTGGTGGAAGTTGCACCATCTCCTACCTTCCTTGTCCTTCTCTGGGTCTACTCTTGCGGGTGGTGGCGGCAAGTTGATGACTCGGTCCTCGACTAACTTATTCATTATTATGATCACCTCCTCCCTTGTGCAAGGAAAGGGGGGACGGACACTTCTTCTTCTTGGGGCATTATCGTGTTGGTACAACCCCTATCTAACTCCTCTGTTGTTTCTAGGCTTCCTTCAACCGCATATGCCTCATTCCTGTTGAATAGGGAGGTGTTTTTTATGGCGTGTGTTGTTCTCTCTGCACACCTCCAGAGTTGGCTAAAGGTCTCGACATCAATGTTCACGATGTCGATTCTGTAAGTGGGGCGCATGCCTTGTATGCACTGCTCAACGAAGCTCTTCTCCATAGCGTGTTCGTCGAAGACGAAGTGTGTTAACTTTTGGAACCTCATAACATAGCCCAAGAGGTCCTCTCCCGGTCCTTGCTCCATGTTTCTCAGATTGGCCATCGTCAGTTTTCTCTCTAAGGTGAATCATTTCGATAGAAACTTTTTGGCCAATTCACCCCATGAATCAATGCTTCCAGGGGTAAGACTCACGAACCAGGTGTACGCTAGGCCGGTCAAAGACTTTGAGAACCAGTGTGTCCGGAAGTGCGTCATTAAACACTCTGAACGCCAGTTTAAAAATTTATAATTTTTAACGTTTCTCAATCAACTATTAACGTAGTAAATGGGTGAGAACGAATCATATCCACATGGAAGCAAGTGAAAAATTAATATCTACTTATATCCGGACAAGAGAATGCAAACGGGAATGGTAGAAAATACAAAAATAAAATCTATTATTGTTGAAATTAAATGTTTCAAATTTAAACAAAACAATAAATAAAAATTAGAATTTAATAAAGTATGAGAATCAACAAAGAAAATAAAAGAAATAAAAAAATGATCCAAAATCCGGATCTGGTGGCGGTAGCTGTAGATCAGCCAGACAGCTTGCAGAAACCCCTCCTAACAAGAACCGGGCGTCAATCCTTTCTACAACCCTCGAACCTCTCGAGACACCTTAGCCTTGAACCAAATGAATTCAGATCTGCAAAACAGAGAAAAAACAAGAATTAAATCCAAAAGATTGCAGAAATAAAAATAACAAAAAAGAAAATGAAGAAAATAAAAGAGTGGTTGATCAGATCCAGTGGCGTTAGTTGCAGGTAGGTTAAACAACTTGCAGGAACCTCTCCTGACAAGAACTGAGCATCCTCCACTTCTATAACCCTTGAACTCCTCAAGAAACCTTAGCCTTGTAATTGGGTGAATTGACAAATCCCTTCTACAGGGCCCTTGGGACCCTTTTTATAGAGAATGGTGGATACAACTGGAAATAGGGAGAAAGATGGGGGGAGCGGCAGGTGGGATTCAGCAAAGTTAGGGATGCCCTAGAATTTCTAATGGATGGCTAGGATGGTTTTGGGGTGATCCTATGGCTGAAAATAAAAGGAGAGGGCGCCCAATATTATGTAGGGCTGATATTTTGGTGCCCAGAAATGGAGAGTGTAAATTAGAACATCTAGGGTTGAAGGGTTAACATTAAAAGAATAGGTGGTGCCCTAAATTGAATGGTTGGGGTATAAGATGGAGGGAGTGGCTGAGATTTGGAGGTGAGGGGCTGAATGGTGAGGATTAGCAAAATAGGTGGTGCCCTAGGGTTTAAAAGCTATAAAGGAGAGCCCTAAAATGAGTGGTTGAGATTAAAAGAGGTGGAGGGTGGAGATTAAACACCTAGGGGCGGCTAGGGTTTGCTAAGAGTGAAAAGAATATGTTAAAAAGGCTCCCAAGGTTTGCTAAGAAGAGGAAGCATGGTAATACAATAGGATGGGCACCAAATAGGTTTAGCAGTTGGGAGAAGCCCTCTTGTTCTCTTTTCTTTACAAAAGCACCCCCTCTCTCAATTTGTCTTCACACCAACTTCCTAAAAACTACACTTCAGCCTAGAAAGCTTCCTAGTTTTCTACATAATTTGCACAGAGACCCTCAGAGGTCACATAATTGATTTTAACTGGGAAAATGGTACACTTTGACTATTCTAAAGCCGAAAATACCCCTGAATTGATGCCCTTAAGGCATCAAAATGCAAAGTTATCAATAACTCATACCTTTAGGTCCCCATCAAGAGCGAAGGATTATGTGCACCTAAAGGCTACCCCTCTGTCTGTCGTTTTATGGCAATTGTTGAGGAGTATACCCAACAGGGTAGGGCTTGTACAAGATGCGGTCAAAATATGGCTTCTATTAGATGGCCAAATCCTGAACTCGGTTGCGGCTCTCAATGACTAGCCCCTAGACATATTCCCTCAGCTCATCTCGACTGAGGGGGGTCTTTGATATCGGGTAAGTTCAGGGAAAGGCGTGACACTGTTGGACAGGTTGGTGGTCTGTCTGGGTTGGAGTTGGATTGGCTGCCCTACTAGGCTGTTCTAAGATGGTGGGGATTTTGTTGGAAGTGTAGCGGCTAGGGTTGGGGACGCCAGTAAGAGTGGCGGTGGGAGTTTGCTCGGCTTGGGCCGAATGGTTGAGTAGGATCTGGAGGGCGCTCCTTGTTTCCTTCTAACTCTGATCGAGGTTTCTGAATCTGCTTGCAAAGAGCCCCTCGAACTCGTATACTTTGTTCGAAAGTATCTTGATGTCGGCCTGGATAGGCATTTCCATCTCAGGCTGGTTCTCTACTCCCAGATTGGGGTTTTTCGGGACGTTGTTCTGCTCATCGGGTAAGGCTTGGATAGGGAATGGTCTCTTTAAAAGACAGAGAAAGGTCGGGAAACAGGAAGATTGGCTTTTGGGCTAAGGGTGTTGGGGTAAGGAGTCGAAGCGAAAGAGTGCTCGAGTGTTAGATGCTGAATGAATTTAAATACATGGAGGATCTCTATTTATGAAGAGATCTTGAGATCATAAAAGGTAGGAGGTAAAGGTGCTTGTCTCTTATAGGGAAAGGGAATATTGGATTTGTTGTCAATCATTAAGTGCACCACTGGGGTTTCGCCACGTGTCTCATGAGAATCTTAATGAGGATTGGCTTTCCTTCCACTCAGGATCCCTCATTACTCACATGTGCAACTACTTTTTGTGCACTTCATTTAATTGACATGGCGCTTAGTGAAGTCACAGCCTGGTGAGCGGCGTCTTGTTAGACCTACGTGACATTCTGCCATGTCTTTTGATGGGATAAAAGTTTAACGCGGATTTGGGCACATGCAAGCCTCGCCATGGGCTCAGCCTGGATTTCTCTTCGCTCGGGTCGCGAATGGGCTCGTAGATATGCAGTGAACCAAGGGTTTATCGCGGTTCTGTAATGCACTCTGTGAGTTTGAAATCAACTACCGGCAGTTTAGGTTTCCATCAGAGATAGTGCATTCCCCGATCATTCACTTTGTCCGACAAAGGGGTTGATCCTATCACTATGATCACCCACTCAGATGAATTCTCAGACTGTCCAAACATACCCATGTTTTGACCCCCCCTCTAAGGATCTCACTGATTGGCATATCAAAGACATCCCAATCCGATACCTAGTGTAGTACCATAATCGAGTCCAGGGGTCAAGTGTAACATTCCAGTTTTTCCCATCTATCTCCAAGGTCTTGGGCAATACTAGAATTTGGTCTGCTTCAAGGTTTCAAATAAACCCACACTGCATGTACCTCAAGTCTCACCCAGGTAGTTGAGAAAAGACACCCCAATCAACTTGGCGGTACACCAGCGTCAGCCTTGGCAAGATAAATCTCCCCATATCTATCCAACGGTTGTCAATATTTTAAACTAACACGAATCTCATAAGTGTACAGTTTAAGGGTGTTACCCAGAAATACACCACAATAACATGAATCAATTATGTACTTTATTCATTTACAATAAATATCAAAAGATATATCAATCTGATTGGAGCTAAGGGCATAATTGTCTAACACTTCTGTCATTAGCATGAAGGCGGGCTGAATCAGTGGGTGGAGATGCACCATAAAATGGGGCTATCCATTTGCTAGTCTAGTCGGCTGGATTGCTTCATAAGATGATAGGAGCGTCATAGACCGATGTAGGAGAAGCCTATCCTAAAATGGAAGACTCTTTCATGGTACCTTGGAGTTCACGATATGACGAATCAGCACTTAATAGATAGAAAGGTTTAACCTAAAATGGCAATGAGACTTGTCTAACAAAGGCCAAAGGGAAAGCTCATTAGATTGGTGGATATGATCATTCACAGAAAATGATGAGGTTTTGTAGCTGAAACAGTTGGCTCCATGCGCCAATGTGATTTCCCATATTTCCAGAGATATGCACCGTGTCTCCGTCATTGAGATAGGAGGGAAATCTCAGAGATGAATAAATGGAGATGGACCATTGATAAAAGACCATTCTATGTTAGATAATATGAATCAATTTTAGGTCATGGACTAATATCTGTTGCATCAGAAATGGCAAATGGACAATTCGCAAAATTGTTGGATGATAACAAACTTAAGGGACCTAACTATGTTGACTGGTATCGTAACCTTATTTTGGTTCTGACGTCCAAGAAATTGGACAAGGTTGCTAAGAACCCTACTCTGGAACATTCGGGTGACAGGGCTTCTGAGGCTCGCAGGAGAGAGTATCAAGAATGGGAGGAGAAGAATTCTCTTGCCTGATGATACATCATAGCATCTTTAGACAATCAGATCGAAAGACAATTCAATAAGATCGAAGTGTCCAAAGACATTTTGGATAGTCTAAAGGCAATGTACGAGGAGCATAATCGTTTTTCCCGTCAAAAGGTCCTCAAGCTGTTGATAACCACACAGATGACCAAGATCCAACAGGTACATGACCACGCCATGAAAATGATGGGGTACATTAACGAATTGGAGGCTCTTGGTTCTCAACTCGATGAAGACGCTAAAACTGATGCCATCATTAACTCTCAGTCTCCCTCCTTCAATCAGTTTGTCATGAACTACAACATGAACAAGCTAAAAGTTAGCCTTCAGGAACTCAGCAATATGTTGTAGAGGCCCAAAGAACTGATTAAGAAGGATAAACTGATAACCATGCTTGTTTAAGGTGGTCAATCAATCAAGCAGAAGAAAGACAAAGCATTGAATGCATATCACTTTCGCAAACAGACCAGACACTAGAAGAGGAATTATCCTCAATATCTGGAAATCAAGAACAAAGGAGGTAATTATGAATCTCTTGTCATAGAGACCAAAATGTTAGTCACTTCTACATCCTAGTGTATGGACTCCGGGGCTTCTACTCATGCATGTAACACATTGTAGGGGTTCAAAGAAAGCAGAAGGCTAAGTGATTATGAGGTGATCATTTACTTTGAGACTTTTGCAACTGTTGCAACTACAGCCATATGAACTATAGATTTAGTTTTCAGAGAAGGAAATGTAAAACTTAAAGATTGTTTTTATGTACTCTCACTGAGAGAAAATTTGATTTTTGTTTCAAAACTTTGCAAGGATGGTTATTCTATTCTATTTAGTAATATGATTACTATTAAATTGAATAAAAAATTCCTTACAGAGAACTTGAGAATGGTCTCTATGTCCTCCGTCCTTCTCTAGAAACATACACAACCGAAACTATGTCAAAAATTATCCCCAAGAAAAAAACATGTGATACGGTTAATCCCACATGCCTGTGACATTATTGACTTGGCCATATTAATATAGATCATATCACAAGGTTAGTAAAGGATGGTCTTTTAGATTTTCTAACTATAGAAGATCTTCCAACTTGGGAACCTTGCTTTCAAGGCAAGATGACAAATCAGCCATTTGCAGGAAAGCCTGAAAGATCTATGTGATCCCATGAATGTTAGGACACGCAACCAACACTGTTATTTCATAACTTTCACCAATGATTACTCTCGGTATGGTTATGGGTACCTAATGAAACATAAGTCTGAATCCTTTGAAAAGTTCAAGGAGTTCAGACAAGAAGTCGAGAAACAGTTGAGGAGACAGATCAAGACCCTTCAATCAGATCGATGAGGCAAATATCTCTCTGATGAATTCAGGGACTACCTAAAGGACAATGGAATTGTATCACAATTATCTCCTACTGCTACACCACAATTAAGCGGTGTGTTAGAGAGGAGAAACCGAACTCTATTAGATATGGTCCGATCACTTATTGTCCATTCAGAATTACCTATATCCTTTTGGGGATATGCATTGGAGACTGCCATATATGTGCTGAACCGGGTTCCAACCAAATCCGTTCCTAAGACTCCCTATGAGATATAGACCGATAAGAAACCAAGTGTGAGACACTTGAAGATTTGGGGTTGTCCGACACATGTTAAACGAACAAGTGCTGACAAATTGGAATCAAAGACCAGTCGTCGCCTATTTATAGGCTACCCCAAATGCTCTGTAAGATACCTCTTCTATGACCCAAGAGAGCAAAAAGTATTTTGTAGTCAAAATGCTTACTTCTTGGAAGAACATTACATCCTAGACAATCATCATCAATAAATTGTTCTTGACGAGGAGAGCTCAGGAGTAGTGGGAAATGTCCCAAAGGTTCTAGATAATACTCAACTTAGAAGATCTACCCAGGTTTCTAAACCTCCAGTTCATTACGGCTATAATCAAGAAAGTTACTTGATGGAAGACATGATCATTGAGGAAGATCCCTTGACTTATACAAAATCTATGTTGGACATAGATTCCTTCAAGTGGGAAGATGCTATGAAAGCCAAGATGGACTCAATGGAAACCAATAGAGGCTGGACTCTCGTAGACTCACCCCCTGGGGTGAAAGCAATTGGTTGCAAATGGATTTACAAGAGGAAGAAGGGCCCCGATGGGAAGGTTGAGACGTACAAAGCCCGTCTTATAGAGAAAGGGTACACTCAAAAAGAGGGAATCGATTATGAAGAAACATTTTTCGCCAATGGCCATACTTAAATCCATATGGATCTTACTAGCTGTAGCAGCACACTATGTCAAACCCTTTTTATAATCCTAAAAGGTGTATTGCCAAACAAGTGGAAGAGGGGGGACTAGTAGGGGATCCAGTAGTAACTAGGTTGACGGTGGATTCAAATGCAAAGGCTAAATATGATGGAATTATTACTGGTATATTTGACTTGGATGATGATGTAATTTTTTGGATTTAATAGTGTCATTTGGAAGAAAAGTTTGGTTGTATCATACAAGCTGAATTAAAAAGGGTATTAAGGATACGGTTAATAATGTTAAAGGGATTTGTAAGAAAGAAGTAGCAAATGGGAACTCTCTTGCTGGAGTAAGTGATGTGCTGCCCGATGATGTAGGTGAGTCAAGTGATGAGGAAATAAATTGTGTAAATTTAGAAGTTGAGTGGCTATTAGACAATGGTGATGTAGAACTATAGGCTATGAGAGATAGATTGAGTGAGTTAAAAAAGAAGAAAGGGAATAATGTTATTGAGGAAGTAAATAATGGTGTTACTCAAGAGGGAGAGAGGCAGAAAAAGAGTAAGGAAGCAAATCAGTTGTAGAAGAAGACAACCAAGAACCTGGGTTCTATGAGTTTGGCTTAGATGATGAGGGAAGTTATTGCACTAGTGGTTCAAATGGTGAGTCTAACCATATTATTAGTGATAAGTTAAGGGTTTCTATTTATGATCTAAGATGGGCATGGTGTTTTTGAAGAACAAATAGTGTAAGGATGAAGTCAAAAATATGAGGGATATTACTTTCAGAAAGTGTAAGTCTAAGAGAATTAGGGTTGTGTGCAAGGATGAAAGATGTCAATGGTATTCTATGCATCATTGGACAAAAGCACTACAAATTTTCAACTAGCATATGTTCTAGAGCACAAATGGCAGTGGAGTTTTAAAAATTCAAGAGTGAACTCAAGGGTTACAGTAGAGTATTTCATAGAGAAGATGCATTCATCAACAACTCAAAGATTGGATAGAAAGGAATTGCAAGAAGGTGCTAAGGAGCATTTGTACACTGATGTCACAATGTCACACTGAATATAAGGAAGAATATGATTATGCTATAGAGTTGGTTAAGTCTAACTTGGGCAATTCAGTATATGTGCATGTTCACATAGAAAATGAAGAGGAAAAAACAATTTTTAGAAGGTTTTATGTTTTCTTGAATGCTTGTAAAAAGGGATTTTTCGATGGTTATAGATCAACCGTTGGGTTAGATGGATGCTTCGTCAAGGAACCAGGATATAGTGAGCTTATTTCAGTTATTAGTAGAGATGCAAACAATTGGATGATGCCAATAGAGTGGGCAATAATAGAAAGCTAGAACACTAAAAGTTGGAAACAGTTCATGGGGCATCTTATAAAGAAATTGGCATAGTAGATGCATTTGAGTCTGTCTAACATTATAATTTCAGATCAACAAAATGTATGTAATTGCACTATCTATTTTCCATTTATAAGCATTTTAAATGAATGCTAATTATCTAACTAGATGTTATTGATTTGCTTTTATAGGAATTGGTCAAAGTAGTTGTAGACCTAATGTCTCATGCAAAGAAAAGAAGGTGTGCAAGGAATGGTTTTACAAACTAGACTAGGATGCGCAAGGGTAAAGAATTGCACAAACAATTCTGAATGTATGCAAAGGTTACAACCATTGTTCATTTCTAGATTAAATTAGCAAAGTTGGAGAATCTAAAGCCTAGTGCCAAGGAAGATGTATTAAAAGTACACCTCGTTCAGTAGTTAAAATATTATTTCCAAACTTTGTCAAAGCATGATTGTGTTGGCAACAATACATTTGATCCTTTAAATGGAGTAATCCTTGAGCTAAGGTACAAGTTAATTATTTCAATGTTAGAAGACATCATCATGAAGGTTATGACTAAAATAGTGGAGAGAAAAAGGTTTGTTCAAGGGAGAATTTGGTCCAAATATTTGGGAGAAGGTTGAAGAGTATAAGGGGGAAAAGTGCCCAAATGAGGGTGATATAGAATAAGGAGGGTAGGTATGAGATGTAGCAAGGGGCAGATAAATATGTTATGGAAATTAACAAGAAAACTTTCACCTATATGAAGTGGGATTTAACTGGGTACCCTACCCCTATTGTATTTTTGTAATTTTTTCAAAAAGGATAAGATAGAGGAATATGTGTCATACTGGTACAAGAATGATGCTTTTTATCAAGACATATTAATATGCAATGTAGTCAGTGAATGGCAAGACGCTTTGGCCAAAATCTACATGTGAATCACCTGAGCCATCTCTAGTGTAGAAAAAGAAAGGAAGACCAATGAAGAAGAGGATTTTAGAGGAGTAGGAGGCTTATTAAGGAATAAAGGTTGAGAGGAAAGGGAGAAAAATGGCCAGCCATTACTATTTCAAACATGGCCACAATCAAAGATATTGCCTTGTGAAGAAAAACAAACAAAGATAAGGTTTTAAACCTAACTCTATTTATCTACTTTGAAAGTTTATTTGATGTTTCAATCTATAGACATGGTGAACAACTAATGGGGTATGTGTGTAGGGTTCAGGTGATGGTTGGTTCTAGGTTGGATTGAGTTGGGGTGGATGAGGTCCATTTACAAGGTTCATGGGATGGGCTGGTCTGGGTTAGTCTGAATTGAGGTGGATGAGTCTATGTATATGGTTTAGGGGAAAGGTTGGGTCTAGGTTGGTTTGAACTAAAGTGTATGGTGTCTGTGTGCAATGTGGGTATGAGTATGGGGATATTGAGCTAAGTATGGGATTGGGCAAGGCATGGTTTGGGTTGGGTTTGTGGATAGGGATGGACTTGGGTATAGGGTTTGAATGTGGGGATTAGGCTGAGTATGCAATTGGGCAAGGTAGAATCTGGATTGGGTTTATGGACAAGGATGGCTCTGACTCTAGGAGTGATGGATAGGGTTTGGTGTTGGGATGGGATATGGTCTAACTAGGTTTGTAGGCAAGTGTTGGGGTGGGGTTAGGTTTATGTTGGGTGTGAACAAGCTTAGGAGTGGGTTTGGTACATTATTACTATCATTATCATCATTTAGAATTGTCACGTGCAAAACACATGCACACTTAATAGTACATATAAAATAATACAAAATACAAGGCTTGGCACTTTTATATATTTATATTTGTAATCTTTCTCTATCTTACCCTTATTTTTACTTCAAACCAAACATAGCACTGAGTTAAATTAGAAAGGCAAATTTACAATCAAATACAAATTGTTACGGCTTCAACCAA